ACATGTCTCCAGACAGCTCTGTGATGGGCAGCCTTCCCACTGCCCCTCTTTCTCAGTGCTGGGATTCACTTTCAGAGTTTGGGGTTTCCTTACTGCTCGGGGTAAGAATTAGAGCTGGTTGAAGTTTATCCACATGAATTCTTTGAAAGAAATTGTCAATAGTTTTTCAATTTCCCCTCCTTTTTGGAGAAATTCAGAAATGAAAATGGTTTGCAATTTCCTCATTTCAGATTCCAACCCCCTTTCCTGTTTGAAAAATGGCTGTTTAGGTCATTTTCCACACAAAATAACTGCGTCCGTCAACATTCTTGCAAAATGTTTGGAAAGTGGTTTTTTTTTAAAGAAAAGCTGAAAATTTCTCCCCTTTCCTTTCTCACTGAAAAAGGGAAGGGTAAAACTTGGGGGAGAGGTGTGTAAAGAGAGATGGAAGATCAAGAACCAAATTTTCCCCCATGTTAGGATTTTAAGTCTTTTTGTTAAAACATCAGCTAAAATTGGAAAACAACTATGAATACTCACATCAACAGCACCTTGGGCTGTGTCCACAACAGCCTGTAAGGAAAAATCGAGGAGTTACTTGATCTGTTCTTTCTCCAGTGTCATCCAAATGTAGCTGATTCCCTCACAATGGCACTACTCCATTTTGAGAGGGAAATGTTGACTATTTAGTCTTTACAGAAGACTTTTCTTCTTCTCTGTGCCTGTCTTTCTTCTTCTCTCTGCCTTCCTTCATTCAGCTGACCAGTCCCTGTTTAATCTACCAGAATGACTTAAGAGATTCAAAGCCAACTGCGTTTGGTGTATTTATGGACAGAGCATCACCAACAGGGCTGAGTGTGCCCCCGAACCTCTAGAAAGAAAAAAGGCAGGAGTTCTTTAATGCTGCTCTTTCTCCAATATCATGGAAATGATGCTGGTGTCATCATAGTGGCAGTGGCTGAGACAGGAAGCTCCTGCGATGGGACATTTCCCAGCCATCCAGGTGATTTCTGCCCTCCCTCCCTCCCACTGAAATATCTCCTACATCCCCAGTTGCACGCTTCATTATCTGCCATGTTAGGAACCCCTTTTGAATGGGTCAGATGCTATGTTGGTGTTTACTGGCATTACTCTATTGATACCAGTGGTGTGAGGACAATTTACATTTGCTGGGGAGCTGCTCCCTCGTGTAGTTGAGGCCATGTGTATGATGTCCATGGAGATACTACTATCCCTGCTCCAAAGGTGCAGAATAACAGCATTTGCAGCCAATCACAGCTCCCAGTGTGTATGATCCTACTAGGCAGTGGTTCTTAACATGGGTATAAAGAACAGGTCCCACGGAATCCCCACAAAAGGGCTACTAGTAGAATAGAAGAATTGACACTGCAAAGAACATCTGGATTGATTCTGACACACCCTTTGGGATTTAGACTCCCATTGCTTTGTCTTTTGCCCCAATCCTTGCACATCCGTCCAAGCTGTTCCAACTGACCACTGATTCAGAGTTCACACCATGTCCACACCAGGAGCACCTTGTCAGTGTAGTTATAACAGTGTACAGGTGCGCTTTTGTGGGTGTAGGTTATACTAGCGCATTCTGAGCTAAATAATCTCTACAGGGAAAAGTACAGTTTTGCTACTATAACTGTGTCTACACTAGGGGCTTTTGCTAGCAAAAGCCGTGTCAGCCAGGGACCAAACATCTTCATACTCTTTTCCCACACCGCTATGCCAAGGGACGTTTGTAGTGTAGACATGTCTCCAGACAGCTCTGTGATCGGCAGCCTTACCACTGCCCTTCTTTCTCAGTGCTGGGATTAACTTCCAGACTTTGGTGGTGTCCTTACTGCTCAGGGTAAGAATTAGAGCTGGTTGAAAATGCTATGCCAGCAAAAGTGAGAGGAAGAGGTTTTTGTATAATGATGTTTCTTTGGCGAAATTCCTCCCCCTTCCCAAAAGATAGCAGGTGTCAATGTTTTTCAAAAACCCTAAACAGTTCCCACCTTTACTTTTCCACTAATAACAGGGGTGGGGGGTGAAGGGAAAAAAAGAGGGGCAGTTGATCAAATACCAAATCTCTTTCCTTTTTTTGATTTTCATTCTCTTTGTTAATAATTCACGAAAAATTGGAAGCAATTTTTTTCTCATGAAAATCTTCATTTTGAACAAAAATATTCTTGGTTGACTAAATCTGATTGAAATGTTTTCATCAAAATAAGTTTTCAACTGACAAATAGATTTTCAATTAAAAAAATATTGTTGAGGTTAAAAATTAAGATCTGAATACTTGGAGGGTGGGGGGAGGAAATGTTGCTGATTTTGGTTTTCTGAAAGAATTTTTTTGCATTGAAAACTTCATGAATTTAACCACAATGTTTTTTTATTGTCCTTGGGCTGGAAAATTTCCCATGTATCCAGTCAATTTACACCCTCCAGAGTTCTGAATTATCTCCTGGATTCCCACGTGAATGCTTCATTACGTGCTATGTAGGAAACAGGCCAATTTCTGTTCTGGTATAAACTGGCACTACTCGATTGACTTCACTGGAGCTCCGCCCATTTACACGTGCTGGGGATCTGCTCCCTTGTATAATTGAGATGTTGTATGTGGTTGTCCAGTCATGATACTATTAACCCCAGTTCCAATGGTGCAGAATGACAGGATTCCCAGCGAATCACACCTCCCAGTGTGTATGACTCCACTAGGACGTGGTTCTTATCATGGTTGTAAAGAATAGAAGCCACACAAAACTCCAACAGAATGGCTACTAGTATAAAAGGAGACTTGAAAGTGCAGAGAGCATCTAAATGAGCTCTGACACACCCTTTTGGGATTTAGAAAACCATTCTTTGTCCAGTCCTTCCACATCTGTCCAGGTTATTCCAACTGACCACTGGCTCAGGGTTTGGGCTTGCTAAGAGGTCCTGCGGTAATATAAGACAGCCTGACAGCCAATCAAATTTGAAATACTCACCCCAGGAACTCTGGCTGGTACGTTCCACACAGCCTGCAAGGAAAAAGCTGGGAGTTACTTGATCTTCCGCTTTCTCCAATATCATCAAAATATAGCCACTTCCCTCCCATTGTCTACACTGCAGTGGCTCTCAAACTTTTGTACTGGTGACCCCATTCATATACCAAGCCTCTGAGTACTACGCCCCCTTATCAATTAAAAACACTTTTTAATATATTTAACACCATTATAAATGCTGGAGGCAAAACGAGGTTTGGAGTGGAGGCTGACAGCTCGTGCCACCCCCCCATGTAATAACCTCACAACCCCCTGAAGGGTCCCGACCCCAGTTTGAGAACCCCTGGTCTATAGCTTAACCACAACATGTCTGCAGTAAGAGCACTGTGTGAGTGTAGCTATGCCAGCGGACTAATGTGCTTTTGTGGGTGTAGGTTATACGAGCGCATTCTGAGCTAAATAATCCATACAGGGAAAAGCAAAGTTTTGCTGCTATAACTGTATCTACAGGAGGAGCTTTTGCCAGCACAGATGTGTCATTCAGAGATCAAAAATCTTCACACCCCAGACCGACACCACTATGCCAGCAGAAGTCTGTAGTGTAGACAAGTCCTCAGGTAGTCAACATTCCCACTGCCCTTCTTTCTCAGGGCTGGGATTAACCTCCAGAGTTTCACGGTTTCATGGTTTCATTATTCCTCAGGATAAGAATTAGAGCTGGTTGAAATTTTACTCTTGGGGTAGGACATTTCCCAGCCATCCAGCTGATTTTGACCCTCCCTGCCACTGAAATATCTCTTAGATGCCCACTCACATGCTTCTTTATCTGCCATATTAGGGAACTCATTTTTCAAGTGGGCCAAATTCTATTCTGGTGTAAACTGCCACTACTCTATTGGTGTCGGTGGAGAGAGGCTGACTTCCACATGCTGGGGATCTGCTCCAGTGTATAGTTAAGAGTGTGTTTGTGATTGTCCATGGTGATATGATTATCCCAAGCGCCTATGGAACAGAACCACAGGATTCCCAGTGAATCACAACTCACAGTCTGCATGACTCCACTGAGAAGTGGTTCTTAAAATGGTTTAAAGAACAGGCCCACAGAAATGGAATACATTGGCTACTAGTGTAATAGGAGAAAGGAAACTGCAAAAAAGGTCCCTGGGAAACCTGCAAGGAAATTGCCGGTAGTTACCTGAGTCTGCTCTTTCTCCAATACAGTCAAAATTCCCTCCCATTGTCCATAGCTTAACCACACCATGTCTACACTTGGAGCACCGTGTCAGTATATCTATCCCGGGATACAATGCACTTCTTTCAGTGTAGCTTATTCTAGCTCTGTCTGAGCAAAATCATCTATACGGGAAATGCACAGAGTCGCTGCTATAACTGTATCTATGCTAGGGGCTTTTGCCAGCACAGTCCTGTCAGTCAGAGATCAAACATCTTCAGTCCCAGACCGACACCGCTATGCCAGGGGAAGTCTGCAATGTAGACATCTCTCCAGACAACTCTGTGATGGGCAACGTTCCCACCGCCCTTCTTTCTCTGTGCTGGGATTAACCTCCAGAGTTTGGGGTTCCTTACTGCTTGGGATAAGAATTTGAGCTGGTTGGAATTTTTACAAATGAATTTTTTGAAAAAAATTATCGATTGTTTTCCAAATGTTTTCCCTTTTTAAACAAATTCAGAAATGCAAAAGGTTTGCAATTTTCTCATGTATGATTCCAACCCCCTTTCCTAGATTTTCACTCCTTATTTTGCTTTGACTAGAGCTGTTTGAAAAATGTGTACTTGGGGAAATTTCCAAACCAAAGAATTACAGGCATCAATGTTTTTTTAAAAAAAATTAAACTGTTTTTTTTTAATGAAAAAATGATTTTTTTTCCTTCTTTACTCTACCCCTGAAAAGGAGGAGCTAAAAATTCGGGAGGGGGGAACAGAGCGGAAGGATCTAAACCAAAAACTTTCCCCAGGTTTTGGTTTTAATTCTTTTTTGTTAAACATCAGAAAATATTAGAAGACAGCTATGAATACTCACACCAGGAGCACCTTTGACTTTATCCCCAACATCCTGTAAGGAAAAATCAAGGAGTTACTTGATCTGTTCTTTCTCCAGTGTCATCCAAATGTAGCTGATTCCCTCACAATGGCACTACTCCATTTTGGGGGGAAATGTTGGTGTTTTCGACTTTAGAGAAGTCATTTCCCCTCTACACTCGGAGCACCGTGTGAGTGTAACTATTCAAGCATCCTCGTGCACTTTTGTGGGTGTAGGTTATTCTAGCCCTTTCCAAACTAAATAATCTAGATGGGCAAAAGCACAGTTTTGCAGTTATAACACTAGGGGCTTTTGCCAGTACAGCCAAGTTGTTCAGAGATCAAACATCTTCACACCCTAGACTGACACTGCTGTGCCAGCACTAGTCCGTAGTGTGGACAAGTCCTCAGATCATCAACACTCCCAATGTCCTTCTTTCTCAGTGCTGGGATTAACTAAGGCAGCTTCCTTACTCTTCAGGATAAGAATTTGGGCTGGTTGAAATTTTTCTCCTGGGGTAGGACATTTCCATCTGGTTGATTTCCACCCTCCCTCACAATGAAATCTCTCTTAGATGCCGACTCGCATGCTTCTTTATCTGCCATGTTAGGAAACGCTTTTTCAACTGGGCCAAATTCTATTCTGGTGTAAACTGGCACTAGTCTGTTGACTTTGGAGGAGAGAGGCTGATGCCGGTGATCTGCTGCACTGCATAGTTAAGAGTGTGTTTGTGACTGTGCATGGTGATAGTAATATCCTAAGCCCCTATTTAGGAGAACAACAGGATTCCCAGCGAATCACAGCTCCCAGTATAAAAACAACAAGGAGTCTGGTGGCACCTTAAAGACTAACAGATTTATTTGGGCATAAGCTTTCGTGAGTAAAAACCTCACTTCTTCGGATGCTCCTTGTTGTTTTTGTAGATACAGACTAACACGGCTACCCCCTGATACTTAGCTCCCAGTATGTATGACACCACTGGGACGTGGTTCTTAAAATGGTTTAAAGAAAAGGCCCACAGAGATGGAATAAATTGGCTACTAGTGTATTAGGAGAAATGAAATTGCAAAAAACGTCTGAATTAACTCTGATACACCCCTATGGGATATAAATCTGATTGCTCTTTTGTCCCAATCCTTGCACATCTGTTCAGGCCATTCCAGCTGACCACTTGCTCAGGATTCAGGCTTGCTAAGAGGTGCTGGGTAATATAAGACTGTCTGACAACAAAGCAAATTATCATACTCACCTTACAAACGATTACAGGTAGGCCCTTGGAAACCTGCAAGGAAATTGCTCTCAGTTACTTGATCCTGCTGTTTATGATTCCACCCCCTTTTCTCAGATTTTCACTCCTTATTTCCCTTTTTCTGGAGCAGTTTGAAAAATTGTGTGTCTTTTGGGAAATTTTCCACTCCAAAAAAATTGCAGGCATCAACATTTTAAAAAAATTACACTTTTTTTTTAATGAAAAACTGAAAATTTTCCTCCTTTTATTCTCCCACTGAAAACAAAGGGCAGGAAGGGGGAGTATGCCCCCGAACTGCTAGAAAGAAAAAAGGCAGGAGTTCTTTAATGGCATTTGATACGGTCTCGCATGATATTCTTATCGATAAACTAGGCAAATACAATTTAGATGGGGCTACTATAAG